ATAGCTATCGGTTGTTCAGCTGTTCTGCCATTTGGTCTATTTGCATATTAGAGTTTTATATATAGAGATACCTTTTTTCATACTGTTGAGCACCTTTACCATCATTACTCTGAACTTTGTTTCAGATAAATTTCTTATCTCTGCTTCATTTCTCTCTTCTTCTGGAGAATTCTCTTGCTCTTTCATTTCGGGGTTATTTCTTTGTCTCCTCATTTTGGCTTTCTGTTTGGGTTTGTGACTATGTATTAGGTAGATCCTCTACACCTCTCAATCTCTAGTGCAGGACAGTGTTAAAGGCTATTTCTGACTAATTAGATCAGGCAGACTCAAAGTCTCCAGAGACTGACTGCCTACAGACTGATAGGATTCCCACTTGAATTGCCCCACAGGCAATCATCCTCAGGTGTGGTGAGAGTTTTTTCAATAGGGTGGGGCAGTTGCTTCTCCCTGGAGGCTAATTGTTATTTTTAATCTCTTAAGTGGCCTCTGGGCAAGGTGTTTTCCAATAGGGTGTGTCAACTGTCTTCCCACCAGGCAAGGCAAATGTGTATGTGGGAAAGATGTCCTCCTCTGCATGAGAAAATGACTCAGCCCAGGAAACTTGGGGTGTCTGTCTTCTGAGCTCTATCCTCTGAGTCCCCAGTCCTGGTTTCTACTCTCATAGTTCCAGTCCACCTCACCCTTCCTTTGCCTGAGCACAAGGTGGGTAGCTCCACAGGGAATTTTGTGCATTGGCCTTTTAACAGGACGCCTGGATTTTCATCTCTCACTCCCTGGCAGACAACATCCCGTTGCTTTTCACAGCTATATGTTAGGTGGGTATCCTTCTCAGATTTGGTGCTCTCCTGGGGGGCCCAGCTTGGGGATTAGGTCCCAGAGTTCTCAGTGGCACCACTTTTGCCCCACAGCTGAGATATCTCTTCGGGACTTCAGTTGTTGTCTGTGGGTGCCTGGCCAGCTCTTTCGCACCTCTGCCCCTCCTACCAGTCTCTATGTGGTCTCCACTTTTGGTCCTCCGGTATCAGGTTTCTCTCCTGTGAGTTTTCCATTGATTATTCAGGAAGTTTTTCTGTATTTTAGTGTAATTCCAGTTTGTTCCTGGGAGCATGTCCATCTAAAGTTTTCTAATTACCATTATAGCTGCATAAAAATGCAAGATATAAAGCTAAGAAATGATATGCAACTCCTCTATACAGAAAACAAAACAGCATTATTAAGAGAAAGTATAGAAGAGCTTAATAACATGGCAGATTTGGATTTTTGGAAGAAGATGCTGATATGAAATTTGTGTGTCACATGTTTATTAGGAATAAACACCTATGAAAGCCAGGGGAAGGAAGGATTTGAACTGCAATGCAGACCCCTCAACACCTGGGCCAATCTTGCTGGGAGCTCTAAAGTGAATACTGCCCAACAGAGTTGTTCTACCTCAGACTAGACTTTACATTCCTTTCCCCATTCCCCTCCCCCTATCCTTACCCCATACTGGATGCCAGCTGCCTTAGAAATAGCTGACCTTGGGTAACAGTTCTCTGCAGGTAAAATAGAAACTGAAGATGCTCACAGCTGGGGGCTGTCTGCTGGTTGCACTCCCTATGACTGGATAAAATCCTCTTATAAAGAAGAATTTGGGCAGCACATTTCCATGTTTCCCACAATCATGGGTTTGAGCTCTCAATATTAACATGTCAGTTTTCCTCAAATTGATCTAAATATTCAATACAATACAATAAAAAAATCCCAATATTTTTAAATATAAAAATTATAGTAAGACACACTACAAAAATGTACTATTAGTGGTATTTGCAATATAGTTCAGCCAATGTCTATTTCAAGAATATTTTCTCTTTTTTAATTGATTTTTTTTTAGAAAGAGAGGAAAAGAGAAGGAGAGAGGAAGAAACATTGATGTGAGAATGAAATATTAAGCAGTTGTCTCCTGCATGCCCCATACCAAGGATTGAGCATGCAACCTTGGGCCTGACCAGGAATCAAACCCTAAACATTTTGGTGTATGGGACGCCCAACCAACTGAGCCACAGTAGCCAAGGCAGGATAGAAAGCTTTTCATTATTTTCCCCAGTAATATAAGCAAGAGTTAACGTGTCTAAAACTGAAAGAAGCAACATCTCACTTGTTCCATTTTTTCCCCATGGAACTTCCCAGCGGTAGAGTCAGGTGCATCAGCAAATTTGTGGGTGTCCTCTCACTGTTGAGGGTGTCTAGAACAAAAGGCTCTGGCTGTTTAATAGACTCTGAAGTGTGCATGTGTGTGTGGTGAGGGTGGGGGTGGGGTGGTATTGATGAAGGAGGGTCAGAGTGGACTGAGGCAGAGTGGGGAAAGTGTCTTCAAGAATTCTCCTATAAGAAGGTATCTGCAAAGGTACCTGAAGACCTCTGGCCACGGCTTCAGAAAAAGAGACTTAGGAATGAAGATACTTGGGTAGCAGTGTAAGTAACAAAAGCAGGCCCCACCTGGGGGCCTGAGTCCTTCAGTGCATCTCCCTTCAGAGGCTATAATACTTTGGCTGTGCGCCAAGTATGGTTTCTTTTCCGAGAGGCCAGTTAGCCTTTGTAACTGCCTGGAATCAGGCCTGAAAAGTCACATAGGATTATAGCCAGGAGCTGAACTCCTCAAAAAGATTCTCAACTTAATTAGTAATCAGGGAAATTCAAATTTAAAAACTGACAATATTAAGTGCTGTTGAGGGTGTAGAGCACCAAGAATTCCAAAAGACCTCTGATGATGAATATAAATTAGTTAAACTTTGGAAAACAGTTTGGCATATCCTGTCACTCAGCAATTCCATTTCCAGGTGGAGTAGAAATCAAAAGAAATTCATGCATATGTGCACCAGGAGACTAAAATAAAAATAATCTCAGATGCAATCTTTATAATACCCTCAATTTTTTAAAAAAATCCAAATGTCAATCAACTGTAGAATGAGTAAATAGCAATCCTATCTAATAATAGACAAACATGGTAATTGACCATACCTTTGAGACGCCTCCCATTGGCTAATCAGCATGATATGCAAATTAACCACCAACAAAGATGGCGGTTAATTTGCATATACCGGCTGGGAGCGAAGACTAAAGATAACATGGAAGCGAAGCACTACAGAAGGGAGCAAAGTAGAGGCGGTGGAGACAGGAATGGAGACAAGGCTGCGAAGGCGGGAGGCGGGAGGGGAAACCCAGCCGCAGCGGCTAGAAGTGGGAGAAAAAAACCCAGCCACAGCGGCTGGGAGTGGGAGGGAAAACCCAGCCACCGCAGCTGGGGGCGGGAGGGGAAACCCTGCCGCAGCTGCTGGGGGAAGGAGGGCAAATGCAGCCACAGCAGCTGGGGGTGGGAGGGGAACCCATCTCAGCAGGTTTCGCTCCCTTCTCTGCTTTTCTCTAGCCACAGGAAGTCCTATTCTTGCAGGAATCTTCCTGCAATGGGCCTCTAGTCCTATCTAATAATAGACAAACATGGTAATTAACCATACCTCCAACACACTTCCCATTGGCTAATCAGGGCGATATGCAAATTAACTGCCAACCAAGATGGCAGCCAGCAGCCAGGCAGCTGAAGTGAACAGGAGGCTTGCTTGCTCCAGTGATGGAGGAAGCCAAGGTTCCCCGCCTGCTGCTTCCGGCCTCTGAGCTGCAGTCTAAGAAACAATGTTGCAATTATAGAAGCTAAACAATCCCCAGAAACCTGCTTTCAGTCAGCCGTCCTCGGAGCTGGAGTCGCAACAAAGTTTCAATTACAGAAGCCAAACAAAGCCCAGAAACCTGCTTTCAGCAGCCGAGGTCTGAGCTGGAGCTGAGCCTCAGAGCTAAAGCCAGCTCTCAGCTCCAGTGACAGCCATAGAAGGTAAATAAATCCCAGAATAAAAAGAAAGAAAGAAAGGAGAGGTTGGAAGCTTCAGTCACCCGCCAGCCTGAAAACGGCCCTCAGCCCCTCACCTGGACTGGCCAGGCACCCCAGTGGGGACCCCCACCCTGAAGGGGGTGTGACCAGCTGCAAACAGCCATAATCCCCTCATCCAGGCTGGCCAGGCACCCAAGCAGGACCCCCACCCTGATCCGGGACACCCTTCAGGGCAAACCAGCCGGCCCCCACCCATGCACCAGGCCTCTATCCTATATAGTAAAAGGGTAATATGCAATCTGACCCTAACAGCAGAAGGACTGGGAATGACTGGTCACTATGACGCACACTGACCACCAGGGGGCAGACGCTCAATGCAGGAGCTGCCCTCTGGTGGTCAGGGCACTCTCACATGGGAGGAGCTCTGCTCAGCCACAAGCCAGGCTGATGGCTGCCAGTAGAGCGGTGGTGGTGGGAGCCTCTCCTGCCTCCTCAGCAGAGCTAAGGATGTCCAACTGCAGCTTAGGTCTGTTCCCTGCTGGCAAGTGGACATTCTCCGAGGGCTCCTGGGCTGCCAGAGGGATGTCTTACTGCTAGCTTAGGCCCAATCCCCCAGGGAGCCGGCCTAAGCCAGTAGGTAGACATCCCTCAAGGGGTCCCAGATTGTGAGAGAGCACAGGCCCGGCTGAGGGACGCCCCCTGAGTGCACAATATTTTGTGCACAGGCCCTCTAGCATATTAATAAAACAGAGTACTTCCATTATTGTTAACAAAGTGAATGAAACTTAGCTACATAAAGATAATGTTGAATGAACAAAGCTAGATACAAAAGTATACTATAAGATTCTATTTATATATAGTTTAAAAACAGAAAACTAACGTACAATATTAGAATTCAAAATAGTGGCTACTATTCTTTTGGAAGAAAGGAAGTTGGCAGTGAATTGCAGAGCACCTGAAGGCACTGGTTTGAAGTATGATGGTTATACATTATACATTTATGTATAATGAATTTTTCAGATGTGTACAATACTTCATTAAAAATGTTTGTAAAACGAACAAATATAATCACATTGAATTTATAAAGTAGCCACACAATTTTAAGAAGGGAAAATGCCGTATCAATAAATAATGTCCTTACCTCTTTAGGATTAATACATCTTATTATGTGACGTGGTTCTCCTTGTCTTCTTATATTAATCAGACTTTTAAAGTATTGGAAAATAGCGATATTCTAAAGGTTCAAACATAAAATTTTATGGTCAAAACTGGGCAAAAGGAGTATAAACTATAAAATAGATTCTATATATGTAAACTAGATTTTAGATATATGATCCATGCAGGGATTCCTTTGACAAGCCATGCAATATTGGCATTATTCTCACAAGTTTTAGCCTTAAGTTTGTAACTGTATTACTAACAGCTATAAATAAAATATCTAGAACTTTGGTTGGGTTACTTCTGGAGAACCCAATCTAGGAGAAAGACAAAATACAAGCTAGTGATTAAGAACACTGACTCTGGCATACTATTGTCCGGGTTCAACTGCTAGTACTTGCTGCTGTGTGACCCTGGACAAGTTGCTTAACCTCAGCTTAACTAAAATATGGGAATGATAGTAACTACCTACAGGTTGATGAAAAATGAATCTGTTAATATTTGTAATGCACTTAGAACAATCTTTGTCACAAGAAAGCACCCAATAAATATTACCTATTATCATCATTATAGAATCCTCTTCATTCCTGTTAAGTAATTCCACTGATTTACAAACCCTATTTTTCATGTTGGCACAAATTTAGTCAAACAATTCCTAAAAAAATTCTTCAATTTTTGAAAACTGTTTCTTTGGTAACCCACTCGTCATGTCCTAGCCCTCAAAAACCCCTAATAATTCTTGGTAAACTGCCTCCCCCTCTTAGTTTGCTTATGTTAAGTCAAATCAAATAAATTCATATTGAAGTAAATCCATAGTACCAATATGACAATTTGAAGCCCCATTTCAACTGCCTGTGGAAGAAGGTGCAGTCACTATCAACATAGATATTATTTCTGCAAGGAAGATATAATTTCCTTGAAGTAAAACCCAAAATTGAGTATCAAAAAATTATGATGGTTTAAAATCTGGATAGTATCTTCTAAATATGTAGATTACTGTATCAAACCACCCCAAACTTAAAGCAACAACTTTTTTCTGTGGGTTGACAAGGAACTTCTGCAGGTTTTGGATATGTGCCTATAGTCAGCTGCCAGATCAGCTGGAGCTGAGTGATTAATATGACCTCACATATATATATATCTGGGTCTTCAGCTTGGAATGTTGGAACATCTGTGTTGGCTGGGACTCTATCTCCACATATACTTTCAGTTTGAGTTTTTTCACAGCATGGAGTTTCAAAATACCAAAGAGAGAAAAGTAGAAGTTGCAAGGTTTCTTAAGACCTTGTCTTGTAAGTCATACAGCATCAGTTATTCTTCATTTTATTGGTCAAAGTCGAGACCTAGCAGACCTCAAGAAGTGAAGCTCAAAGTGTGACCTATAAGAAATTCCATATAGACATTGGCCTCACGCAGGGGTGACCCTGAAGGACAGGCATGAAGATAAATCCTTCCATGGGACAGAATCTCAAGCAGCATACATGGTTGTAGATTGTGCCTGGAAGGAAAGATGATCAGAGGTACAGATCTACTGATGGGCAGTGACTGATGGTTTGACTGGATGCTCAGGAATTTGGAAAGAACATGGTTAGAAAATTGGAGACAAGAAAGTCTGAAGAAGAGGTCAAACCACCCACTCCCAAATGCACACCAAGTGTGTATATATTTGTGTCCATATGGATGCTTACCCGAAAGCAATCTCAGCAAAGAAGACTCTTAACAATCATACAGGCAAAGTGACTAGTTCTTTGGAGTCAGCCAGCCTTTTTCCCCCCGCCACTGCTCTCCTTGCTCATGAACAAAGTGGCGATCCAGCAAAGTTGGAGGTTATTCATCGGCTTAGCTACTGTCGACTGCTGAATGGCCACTTTGCCAAAACATAGACCAACACTGAGCCCTTGATATGGCATCGTTCCTTGGGGTAATTAGTCAGCTTCCTGTGGCACACTGATTAGATGAAACATTTCCATTATGAAAGGTGCAACACTTTATACTCACTGGAAGTGACACTTTACCCTTCTGTGTACACACCATCTGTATACTTTCATTATGCTTCATTTACTGTCATAGTATTGCACATAGCATTAGTTCTTATCAGAGAAATTGCTTCACAGCAAATGTAGTACACCAATGGGCCCATGTGCATGAAATTCACTGATATGACCATTCCTTATCACACTAAACCAGCAATTTTCAACCAGTATGCACAAGCATTTTGGGGTCGCAAGCACTTTTATCCCTTCACTCTCATCCTCTGTGTGTCTTTTGTTTTGAGGTGGGTCTCTTATAGACAGCATATAGTTGGGTCATGTTTTTGTATCCATTCAGCTACAAAGCATTTAATCCATTTACATTTAGGGTTATTATTGATAGGTACTTATTAATTGCCATTTTAATTCTGTATGGCTAGGTTTATCTCTCTATTTCTTCTTCTCATTACAGCAGTCCCTTTAGCATTTCTTGTAATCCTGGCTTGGTGGTGATGTACTCCTTTAGCTTTTTTTTTGTTTTTTGGGAAGCTCTTTTTTGACCATCTGTTTAGGATGATAGTCTTGCTGGATATAGTAATCTTGGTCTCAGATCCTTGAGTATTTCATACAATTCCCTTCTGGCCTGTAGGGTTCCTAATAAGAAATCAGGTGTCAGCCTTATGGGAACTGCTTTGTAGGTAATAGTTTTCTTTTCTCTTGCTGCCTTTAAGATTCTCTCTTTGTCTTTAATTTTTGGCATTTTAATTATGATGTGTCTGGGGGTGGGCCTGTTTGGGTTCTTCCTGCAGGAGGTTCTCTGTGCCTCCTGAACTTGTGTGACTTTTTCCTTTTTCAGGTAGGGGAAGTTTTCTGCCATCGTTTCTTCAAACACATTCTCTATTCTTTTCTCCCTTTTTGCCTCTTCAGGCACATCTGCTGTTCTAATATTATTACATTCCACAGCTACCTTAAACTGTCCTTCTGTTTTTTAATTGTTTTTTCTGTTTGTTTCTCTGATTGAGTGATATTTTCAACTGTCTTCTAATGCACTGATTTGATCCTCAGCTTCCCCTAATCGGCTGTGTATTCCTTCCAATGTGTTCTTTATTTGTGCAATGTCATTCTTTATCTCAGACTGTAATTTTTTTCATACTTACTATATCTTTTTTTCATGCTATTGAGCATCTTTACCATCATTACTCTGAACTTTGTTTCAGATAAATTTCTTATCTCTGCTTCATTTCTCTCTTCTTATGGAGAATTCTCTTGCTCTTTCATTTGGGGGTTGTTTCTTTGTCTCCTCATTTTGGCTTTCTGTTTGGGTTTGTGATTATGTATTAGGTAGATCCTCTACACCTCTCAATCTCTAGTGCAGGACAGTGTTAAAGGCTATTTCTGACTAATTAGATCAGGCAGACTCAAAGTCTCCAGAGACCAACTTTGCTCACAGACTGATAGGATTCCTCAGGTGTGGTGAGAGTTTTTTCAATAGGGTGGGGCAGTTGCTTCTCCCTGGAGGCTAATTGTTATTTTTAATCTCTTAAGTGGCCTCTGGGCAAGGTGTTTTCCAATAGGGTGTGTCAACTGTCTTCCCACCAGGCAAGGCAAATGTGTATGTGGGAAAGATGTCCTCCTCTGCATGAGAAAATGACTCAGCCCAGGAAACTTGGGGTGTCTGCCTTCTGAGCTCTATCCTCTGAGTCCCCAGTCCTGGTTTCTTTTTTTCTTTTCTTTTTTTAATTTTTTCTTTTTCTTTTTTTATTGTTTTATTGCTTAAAGTATTACAAAGAGTATTACATATGTCTCCTTTTTTATCCCGCCCTTGACAATCCCCTGGCCTCCCCTACCCCCCAGTGTCCTATGTCCATTGGTTATGCTTATATGCATGCATACAAGTCCTTCGGTTGATCTCTTACCCGCCCCTCCCTCCTGCCCCCCAACCCTCCCCGGCCTTCCTGCTGTAGTTGGACAGTTTGTTCGAGGCAGCTCTGCCTCTGTATCTATTTTTGTTCATAAGTTTATAATGGTCTTTATTATCCATAAATGAGTGAGATCATGTGGTATTTTTCCTTCATTGACTGGCTTATTTCACTTAGCATAATGCTCTCCAGATCCATCCATGCTGTTGCAAATGGTAAGAGTTCCTTCTTTTTACAGCAGCATAGTATTCCATCATGTAGATGTACCACAGTTTTCTAATCCATTCATCTACAGATGGGCACTTAGGCTGTTTCCAGATCTTAGCTATGGTGAATTGTGCTGCTATGAACATAGGGGTGCATATATCCTTTCTGATTGGTGTTTCTGGTTTCTTGAGATATATTCCTAGAAGTGGGATCACAGGGTCAACTGGGAGTTCCATTTTTAGTTTTTTGGGGAAACTCCATGCAGTCTTCCTTAGTGGCTGCACCAGTCTGCATTCCCACCAGCAGTGCACAAGTGTTCTTTATCCACATCCTCTCCAGCACTTGTCATTTGTTGATTTGTTGATGATAGCCATTCTGACAGGTGTGAGGTGGTACCTCGTTGTTTTGATTTGAATCTCTCAGATGATTAGTGACTTTGAGCATGTTTTCATGCCTCTTGGCTTTCTGAGTGTCCTCTTTTGAAAGGTGTCTATTTAGATCCTTTGCCCATTTTTTTATTGGATTGTTTATCTTCCTTTTGTTAAGTTGTATGAGTTCCCTATAAATGTTGAAGATTAAAGCCTTACCAGTGATAACATTGGCAAATATGTTCTCCCATGCAGTGGGCTTTCTTGTTGTTTTGTTGATGGTTTCTTTTGCTGTGCAGAAGCTTTTTATTTTGATGTAGTCCCATTTGCTTATTTTCTCTTTAGTTTGCAATGCCCTAGGAGCTGTATCAGTGAAGAAATTGCTTTGGCATATGTCTGAGATTTTGTTGCCTTTGGATTCTTCTAGTATTTTTATGGTTTCCTGTCATATATTTAAGTCCTTTATCCATTTTGAGTTTATTTTTGTGTATGATGTAAGTTGGTGATCTAGTTTCATTTTCTTGCATGTATCTGTCCAATTTTCCCAACACCATTTATTGAAGAAACTATCTTGACTCCATTGTATGTTCTTGCCTCCTTTGTCAAATATTA